GAAAGTGTATCTAGAAGGTTTGAAGGCCACAACTAGTAGGTGGACAGCTGGGATTCCAATCTAGGAAGCTTAACTACAAGGTACATGCCCTTAACTAGGTGTCACATTGCTTCCAAATCTGGACAGTAGACACACCAGATATACACACATTAGCTATACATACTATCTGTATATGTACCATATGTTTGCAAAAGCAGCTCAAAGCCTGGAATGGCAGATGCTAAGATGTACCCATAACATATGTATGTACACCATTCAGACATCTATCATATACAGACAAAGGCTGCTTCAAGCCTATAGACATACTGGATGTATTCATAGGCTGGTGGCTCAAAAGCATCATATGACAGCATCCCTGAAGACCCCTTAGCTGCCTCTCCTGGAAGCCCCAGAATGATGTGTTAGATCAGATGTTGACCCTCAATATTGCCATTTGCTTTCTTTCGTTCAATGACACTGCAGAACAGACACTACTATGGAGGGATGGAGATAACGTGCCTTGCCCAAGGCTACGAAATTACTCGTCACGACACAAGGATTTCTATTCAAGTTCTCTAATTCCAGAGCCACATTCTTTCCAGGGTATCAAGAGGGAAAAGTATGATTTCAGATCCTCTCTACATATTTGATCCTCCTGGTCAAAGCAACAACTCCAAGCAAGAATTTGGGAGGGCCCTTAAAGTGACTGATAAAGCTCATCCCAAAAAGGACTAGAGATCAGCAGAACTCTTGCTTCTCTAATGTGGGTCTAAAAGCAGAATCTTACTGCTCTACATGCCTTGCTGTAAATCAGACAGAGACAATCTATGTGCTTATAGATTTTCTACCAACATAGAATAAATATGTTTATGTAACATCAATTGTTGTTATTGAATGGCACTCCAGGCTGGCCTGGTGTTTTCCAAGTCTGATAAACATCTGTTTAACGGCATAATCTTGAAATTTATTAGAAATCAACAATAAATTTATTGGCCTGTACCACTTTTCCTTTTCTGAAAATTAAGGCAGCACTTGACCAGCATGTGAGTGAGTGTGAAAGAGATAATAACGCTTTCATTAGTTTAAACACAACAAACCATTTTCAAGAGGGAGAGGATAGGAGAGGGGAGAGCTAAAGGTCTAACATTTTAATATCTAACCTGTCATCTTGATGACATCATGAAATAAAAACTATAAGTAACTATTTGTGATTGGTATCTTTTTTCTGGGGCATAATGACTAAAATTAATTACTGTGCCCATACTAGGGCTCAGAATCAGGGCATTACACTCTTCCTTAGCTTTTTTACTCAAGTCTGGCACTTTACCACTTGACCTATGCCTCCATTTCCAGATTTTAGCTGGGTAACTGGAGATAAGAGTCTTGAGTATTTTCTGCCTGGGCTCGTTTCAAAACTTGTTCCTCAGATCTCAGTCTCCTAAGTAGCTAGAATTAAAAGTATAAACTACCAGCATGCATATGTGTGTGTGTGTGTGTGTGTGTGTGTATGTATTTAATATTGGGGTTTTGAACTCAAGGCCTCATATACTTGCTAAGCAGTTACTACCCTGAGCCATACCTCCAGCACCCCAAAATTATTTCATATAGAGAAATATGCACAACCCAACATCCTTGGGTTCCACATTTGTGGATTTGACCAAGTATCAGGAAAAAAAAAGTCTTATACTAAACATGTTTACTTGTCATTATTCCCTTAACAATACATTATAATAATGTCTTACATAGTACTTACTGTTAGGTTTTTAAAAAGAGGTAGGCAACTAAGAACAGCACCAGCATGCACGTGGTATTCAGGTAAGGGGTAGGTTTATTCAGTAGACCTGCTGGGACCAGGCAAGGTTGGCACTCCACGTGACTGGCAAGAGAGCTGGGAAAGAGAGAGGAAAGAGAGAGAAAAGAGCTAGAAAAGAGCAGAGAGAGCAAGAAAAGAACAGAGAGAGAGAGAGAGAGAGCATCTGGGCCTGGGCTAGCCCCTATCTAGGGTATGGGCAGAGAAAGGTGTGGCCACATCAGGTTAAGATGTGACCTCAGAGGATGCAGATGTGACCTCTTCCAGGTGTCCCAGTTGCCTAGGTAACGCAGATACTGGGTGGAGACTTTGCTGCAAGGAGGGTGGAGTCTGCTGGCCATCCAGGAGCAGACCTTACACTTACATTGTATTAGATATTGTCTATCATCTACAGATGGTTTAAAGTATACAGGAAGATGTGTGTCTATTTTATGCAAATACTATGCTATATTTTATATCAGGGACTTAAGCATCCACACACTTTGCTATCTGTAAAGGTCCTCAGAATCAATTCTCCATGGAGAGTAAAGGATGACTGTATGTGTGCTCACACACACACACAAAGGTACGCAACATACACATACCATAAATATGCACTACACATATATTGTGAATATGTGTTGTATGCAAATGTGTAGATGAATGTACACATCATATACATGCTAAGTTTTATCAACAGTTATAACTGAAGGAGACTGAGGAGGCGAAAGCTATAGAGTGAGAACAGAGGTCTCTAAGGAATTTATTTCATAACATCTTTCTCAGTACTGAGCCTGCAAACAGCAACAAAAAAATCGCCACCTGCATATAAGACACCAGGAAGGTATCCTCATTCACATACATTATTTTTCTTGAATCTTTAATTTACTCAGCAGCAGCTAATTGACTATGAAGATCTTGCTCTCCAGTCATCCATAAGATTTCCGAATACAATCTCATTTTGGCAACCCCGAGTTGAGTTGGTTATTTCTACATTCATTGAGTAGTTACATATTTTTTAATAAAGAAAACGGGTCAGGTTTGCCAGAGGAGCTGAGTCGTAAGGCTGAGCCAAATTATTCAGCAGAATCCAAACACCTGGCTGCCACAAATGATTACTTTAATGTATTTCTAATGAGGTCTGGATTCAGACCAAGATGAAGATGATGCTTAAACTGTTAGTAGAATTTCCTTGAGTTTTCTTAAAGGATCACAAAATTTTAACATTATCATAAAGGAACAGGCCATAAGAACTCCTCCCTCCCTTTTTAAAAAGGAATCAGAAATGTTTGTTGCAAATAAAGCCTAGGAAATACAGTATTTTTAAATAGTGGGTTCTATGCTTTTTCAATCCTTTCAACTGGATGGAAGCCAGGTGCCAGTGGCTCATGTCTGTAATCCTAACTACTCAGAAGTCTAGGACCTGAGGATCAAGATTTGAAGCTGACTGGTGCAGAAAAGTCTATGCCACTCTTATTTTCAATTAACCACTAAAAAGCCGGAAGTGAAGCTATGGCTAAGTGGCAGAACACCAAGCTTGAGTGAAAACGTTAAAGGACTGTGCCTAGACTCTGAGTTTAAACCACAGTATCGGCGCGTGTATGCGTGCGCACACTCAAAACTGTATGCAATAGCATTCGGTTGAAGAATAAGTCCCTTAAAAATCTGTCTCTGGGAAACTCAGGCCAAAGCTAAATCCATCCTGGGAGCCTATGGTGGTAAACAGCTCTGTCCCTCTGACCAGAGGAATACCACTCAGAGAAAGTGCAGATGTGTACAGCCAATTGGAATTCAGAAGTCACAAGTCCAACTACTCTAGGGCAAAGCATTCATTGGCTTCAAAGCTAATCACAACATAAAATCATAGCTCTCTACTCTCATTTATAGTTGGTAACAATTTTTTATGCCCCTAGCAAGTGCCAGGTTCTAAGTCAGGTACTGTCCATATACATTTTCTTATTAGAATTCATATACTTTGTGTAATGGCAGCCTTGTTTTGACCAGTAAATTGACCAAAGGTCAGAGCTGTGAAGGGCAGGAGTAGGATTTGAACTCACAGCCCTCATCACAGCTGGAGCAACAGTTCCATTTCACAGATGGGGGAGGGCAGGTTCCAGGGAATTTTGGTCAGTGCTGTGTCTTGTATCCTAAGCAGCTTTTTATTACACATGGAGGAGGCAGCTGTGACGACTGTTGAAGTTGCTTGGCTAGCAGAAATGAAGGGAAAAAGAAAAGGAAACAGCTGGCCCAATGTTCCTTCCTATCTGACCATGACCATGAAGCTGTGTGTCCTCAGCTGCCCACCAGGGAAGTAGCTGGCACCACACAGCCTCTCCACAGGGCTCTCCTGACTCCAGGTGGACCAGCCCATACTGGCAGCAGGATCCTCCTTCAACACCTTCTCAGGGCCTTAACTTGCCACCACACTCACCACCTCTTCTGCCTTCTTTCCTAATGGCCAGACATCTGCCAAAAGCACCTGATAAAATTCTCTCAGGATACACACTTAAGGCATACTCTGTGCTCCCCAAGGTAGGGCCCCAAAGTAGCCAAGATTGGAGTCACCCACCAACTCTTGCACAGAAGCACGCGCGGATTCGGACTAATGGACAACCCCCAGTCAAAAAATAACCAACCATCCCTGTGTAACACAGAAAAGGAGGCAGACCAACTTCCACCTGCCTGCAAGAGCCGTGAGGGGTACAGCTGACCCCAGCCTAGATCTTCTGGGGTAACACTCCCTAGCCTGCCTAGTCTTTCCAGTTCTGGGAATAATTCGTGCCTGAGTGTGACCCAGAATTTCAGCTCTTTTAAATCCAGGGAAGGAGGAAGGAAACCTCACCTCCACACCGAGGATTGGAGGAGCATGGGTGCAGGCACGGGGGTCTGTCCTTCTGTCCCTCTCTCTCCAGAATCCCAAATCAAGGACGAGGGCTCGGGACTCTGCCCCGGGACACACACACACACACACGTTACACCCTCGTTCACGGCCGCCCATCGCACTCCCGCGGGAACATTTCGCTCGCTCACCCCAAAAGGAATACCTGCCTCCCGCGCCGCGCGCCCGCACGCCCGCACACCTGCTCGGGTCCTGCAGACGCGGGCTCCGCGCCGGCCCCCCACCCCACCTGCCGGGGCGCGCACGCCGCCGCGATCGCCCCCCACCCCCGGCCCCGAGCCCGCCGCCCGCCCCCTCCGTCCCAGCCCGACGCTCCCCTCCCGGCGAACTCACCGCGCCCGACCCCGCCGTCCCGCGCCGCCCGCCCGCCCGCCCGCGGCCTGGGGCCCCGCGCCCGCTCCGGCCCGCGGCGCTCCTGGGCTGCCGGCCCAGCCGCCGCCGCTTCCCGTCACGTGGGCCGCCGCCCGGCGCCGGCGGAGGGCGGGAGCTCGCCGGCCCCGCGCCGCCCGGCCGCCAGCCCGGCCGTCCCCGCCCCGGCCGCGCGTCCGGGACCCGGCGGCCGCGCCCGCGCCGAGCCCTGCTGCTCAGGGAGGGGGAAGCGTGCGCGGGGGAGCGTGCGCGGCCCGGGCCGGCGGCGGCGGCGGCGGCGGCCTGGGGTCACGGGGCGTCTCCGCGCCCGCCGGCCCGAGCTCCGCGCACACGCGGCCTGGCCCCCTCCGTCCCCCGCGCCATGGCTGACGGCGCCGCAGTGGGCGAGGCGGAGGCTCAACGCAGCCCCGCGGGCGGACGCGGGTGGACGAGTGAAAGCGACGGACCGACGGACGGACGGAGACCCGGAGGTTGCGTCCCGCTGCTGCCTAGCAGCGCTGGGTCCCGACCGGGCTGCGCCTTGGGGACCAGCAGGCCCTCCGCTGGTCCAGGCCCAGGGCTGAAAGCCAGTCCCTGAGGTTTGCAGGGTATTATTTATGCCGGCCCTGGGGCTTGAACTCCCGGCCTTAGCTTTTTCACTCAAGGGTGGGTTCTGCCGCTTGATTCACAGCTCCACTGGATTCTACCTAAAGACACCTACCAAAACTTACTCAAGAGTCTAAGTCATAAATGACAGGCACTACTAGGTAACCACCTAGATTACACAACGTGCTCAAACATCTGCATAGGCTCATTTCATTCATTCATTTATTTATTTTTGTCGGTCATGGGGCCTGAACTCTGGGCCTGGGCGCTGTCCCTCAGCTCTTCAGCTCAAGGCTAGGGCTCTACCACTTGAGCCACAGTGCCACTTCTGCCTTTTCTACTTAAGTGGTGCTGAGGACTCGAACCCAAGGCCTCATGCATGTAAGGCAAACACTCTACCACTGAGCCACCTTCCCAGCCCCTGCATAAGCTAATTTTAAGTTGCTCATTTTTCTACTGTTACATTTAAGAACAAGTATCAATATATATGGTTTTCAAAGGAATTATTAATTTCACCTATTAATATTTGTCAAATAGCTTCTGGGCCCATGCCAGATATGGTAGAAGTATTTTATGTGAAAAGGATGAGCTCTAACAGAAAATGGAGGCTGATGAAGAGATGCACAGACACAAGGGATTCTCTACCTTTGCTACTTTCCACCTTCCTACCTTCTTCACACTTCATGTGAGTGCATAAGCTTCAGGCAAGGAGTGGCTCTATCTGGCTTTCTGCTATTTTCTTTGTCATATCTATAAAACATTCAACCATTAAAAAAAAGTGTGTATATGTGTGTGCACACACACAAGCCAGTACCAGAGCTTGACCACATGGCCTATGCTTTCACTCAGCTTCTTCAAAGCTGGCCTCTACCATTTGCTTCCACTTCTGCATGTGTTGGTTAATTGGAGATGAGTCTCCAATTTGTCTGCTCCAGCAGATTTCAAATCAGAAACCTCAGATTATTATCCTCCTTCCTAAGTAGCTAGGATTTACAGGCATGTGTCACCAGCAAATGGCTTTTAAAAATATTCTTGACAATTTGGTGTTCAACGCTGATGAAATAAATTATTAAAACTGGGTTGTTGTTGTTGTTGTTTGGGGGGGGGGTGCTGGGGTTTGAACCGAGGGGCTTATATGTGCTGAGCATACTCTTTAACAGTGAGTCCCAAAGATAACTGCATGGGCATCAGTGGCTCACACTTCCTAACTACTTAGAAGGCTAGAATCTGAGGATTGAGAATTGAAGCCAGTGGGGGCAAAATAATCCATGACACTCTTATCTCCAATTAACCACCAAAAATCCAGAAGTGGAGCTGTAGCCAAAGTAATAGAGCACCAAGCTTGAATGAAAAACTAAGGGATCCCCACTACAGATGAATGGATAAAAAAAATTGTGGTACCAATATACAATGGAATATTATGGAGCCATTAGAAAGGACAAAATAATGGTATGCGCAGGGAAATGGATGGAACTAGAACAAATCATTTGAACGAGGTAAGCCAGGATCAGAGAGACAAATGGCACATAGTCTCTCTGATAGGTGGATGTTAAATCCAAAATTCAAGGAGATATGATGTATATCTCATATATATATATGCACATCTGAGGGAAGTAGGAGGAGGGCACAGAATCAGAGGGAAACAAGGAGAAATATATAAGAGGGCACCATCAGCTGCACTGGACATTGAAGAAAACGAACTAAGCAACTCAAGGGCTGCGACAGGAGGGAGGGAATGTGAGGGAAAGAGGGAACAGCTTACACTAAGCAAAAGGAAAGAAATGCACATATTACCCAATGAGGAAGAAATAGTTGTACTGTCAAAGCTCATGGAATTCAAAAACATAGACCAGGATACTGACAATTTGCCTTGTAAAGGTTAAAATGTGTTCGTAACTTTAAATATCACTATCTCACAATACTGTGAAATTTATGTAATCACTTAATCTCAATAAAAATATTTTTTAAAAAAAGAAAAGCTAAGGGATACTGCCCAGACCTGAATTTAAGCCATAGTACCAGTATGCATGCACACACAGACACACACCCTGGATGAAGCTGCATCTGGTTGAAAAATTGTTCCCCCCCCCCTAAAAAATCTCTCTGGAAAGCTCAGGCCAAAGCAAGAAAGACCTCTTAAACCAGAACAAGTTAAAAAAAAACTAGAAAGAAAAAACATCTTATCTTTCCACATACCAGTCTTGGATGATGAACATTTGAGTTTCAGGCTAGGTGATAGGTTCAGAAAACAAAGGAAGCAAGGACTTGTAGTCGGATTTCCAGGCTATTAAACTGGCTTCCTGTTATATCACCACCCCTACCACTTCTCTCCTTGGATGACAACAACCTGATGGAAGCAATGGGAAAGGCATTTGACCTAATCACCTTAGCTCCACGTTTTACAAAACTGTGAGGTAACATTTTAATTCAATCTCAGGGATAAGGAGGCTACAGCAAGGAGGGATGAAATATTTATCCTTAGAGTGCAAATGGTGTTATAATCCAGATCTGGGCCACCCCAAAGTGTGCTATTTCTCCTGGTCTCAAGACTGCTTCCTATGGCCCAATAACTTTCTAAAACCTAGATATTGAAGCAATAGTACCTACTCCAAGCCAAGTATTTACCTCTATTTGATCATTCTTCACAGAAGGTATTAGTTCGACATTTTCTTCAGGAAGAGAAGAGCTGAGACACAAACTTACCTATGCTCTCCATGTAGCCGAATAATATCTGAACGTAGCTCTGGTTACAAACCCAGGCTTTTTCTAAGGCAGCGGCTTTTGCCATGTGCCTCCACTGGAGGGGACAGAGACAATGATATCACGCATGCTAATTTTAGTATTGTTATAGTGACAGCAAATCAGATTTTTAATATGGAATATCAGGTTATACCATGAAGCTACGATACTTAATTCCAACTTAGAACATTCATCTCAGTTTCAATATTCTAGTGAAGTTAGAGTCACAATCTCTTTCAGATCAGCTCCTGGTCTGAAAGTAATCAAGCAAATGCCTTTTTTTTGGAGGACTGCCTCTTTTTTTTTTTTGGGTCTGTATGTGTGTGCATGCACCAGTTCTGGGACTTGAGCTCAGGCCTGAGCACTGTTCCTTAGCATTTTTTCTCAAGGCTGATGCCCATCACTTGAGTCACAACTCCACTTCCAGCTTTTTGGTAGTCTCAGACTTTCCTGCCTAAGCGGCCCTTCATACTTCAATCCTCAGATCTCAGGCTCCTGAGTAGCTAGGATTACAGGTATGAGACATCAACACCTGATTCTGAGAGAGACTTGTTTCCCTCAGCTCTGAAATTGTTTCTCTATATCAAGTTTCACATAAATTATTAAGGGAAATATAAAACTTCTCAGCAGTACCTTATTTCAAAACTTCACTTACTTTTCCAGTACTGTAGTCATGTTATCTGTTGGATCAGAGTTCTTCACTTTTTGTAGACAATGCAATGGTTTTTTTATTATAGAGGATTCTAACAAATATTCAGCACATGTCTTCAAGTATAGCTTTTACATGTGAAAAAATTGGGGATATATGACTTCCCATTAATGATGAAAGAGCAGATAGGATCTCAAGTCAATTACTAGGAATTAATCATAATGGGACACATACAATATATTCCAAATACTTTTACGTCAATGTAGTTAATAGGTAGGGAAAATTTACTCTTCAGATCCGACTGCCTTCCTCATTGCGACCTCAATGATCAGGAAATTATCCTTTCGAACTCCCATTTTTCTTATCTGAGAAATACTCTGGTAAGACCTCATTGGTCCGAGGGATGAGAAAATCCAACAATAGTAAATATATCTAACAAATGTTCGGCTATCACGACCAGTTTCACGTGTAATGATTTTTCACGTGTGAGCTGGTTATTCAATGTATCCTTTCAAGGTGCAACTTTCTCTTTTGTTATTGGTATTGGCTGTACTCAGAGGGTTTCATGGTGACCTGTCTCTATAGTTATACAATACCAGGATCTGATTCATCCCTCTTAATCCTAAACCGATATTAAACAGGGGACAAATATTTGAGCGTTGAAGTCCCGGGCACGCAAGTTAACAGCGAATGAATGCGACAAAGTGTGTAGCTTACAGGCCAATTAGGTGGTAAACGATACAAAAGACAGAAAAGGAGAGAGGGAGGGAAGGTGAGGGAGAGGAGGGGAGGGAGGGAGGGAAGGAAAGACGGACCAAGGCAATTCAGACATAAGAGGACCCTATTGGCCCGACACGCTCCAGGCTGACCCGAGAATCCCTTTGGGAAGCCCTTGGGCCTCGGCCCCAGGGCCCTGGAACGTCACAGGAGGCGCGACCTGGCAGGACAGGGTGGCGGAACTCGTCTCTCCCTCTCTTCCCGCAGGATCTGACTGACAGGATTTGGCAGGCGGAGTGAACTTCGCCCTCCCCGCCCCTTCCTGGCACACCGATCCTTTCTTCATCTAAAGTCCCGCTTTCCCCCCTCCACACTGGAAAGCGCGGGGCCGGCCGGCGCCAGCTCCCCCCCAACCCTCCCACCATCACGAAAGCCGTCACAGGGCGCGCGGCGCGCGGCGCGTGACCTCACAGTAGAGGCCCCGCCCCCGGACGTCACTTCCGGGACGCCTCCTCCGCGGAGCTCTGTGGGTAGTCGACGGGGTCTCCAGGCGACTACAAACCATGGCGGGGGATGTGGGCGGCCGCGGCTCCACGGACTCGGAACTGCTGCTGCACCCGGAGTTGCTGTCCCAGGAGTTCCTTCTCCTCACCCTAGAGCAGGTTGGACGCGCTGGGGCGGAGGACAGGGGGAGCGGGCGGGTCTGTTCCAAGTAGTCCGCGGGGACGACAGGCCACCCGCCCCGGGCGCGCCCCTCCGGGTTTGCGCCGCCCTCCGCCCGCCCCGACCGGTCCGGGCTGCCCTGGGCCCCCCCGCGCCCACCGAGGCGCGCCTGGACGATCGGGACCTGCCGGGATTCGGAGTTCATCCATCAGGGTCACCCCCGTAGTCCGTGGGTGAGGGTAGGGCCGGAGGACCGGCGGGGAACGCAGCACGGAGTGGTAGGAATTGGACCCGGGCGCCCGAGGGACTCGTGTCTGTAACCCTACCGACCCTGGAGGCGGAGATCCTGGGGGATCGCAGTTCAAAGCCAGCCCAGAGGCAGGAGAGCCCACTTAACTACCAAACAGCAACAACAACAGAGCCGTCCGTGTCGCTCCCGCTCAAGTTGTAGAATGCCAGCCTCCCGCACAAAAAGCGCCCGGGCAACGGGTTTCAGCCCCGGCAGCAGTATGGGGGGAAAAGGAGGGTAGACTTGGAGAAGAGAAATCGTGGGCCCTCGAGGCTGGAAAACATCTGAGAAGCGGTGCATTTCGTCGCGTTTAAAGACATCAGTCACTAGGTATAAATGTCAGAGTTAGGAGAATTCTGGGCTCTCCATGCCGTGCACGCTTGTCACCAGCTGTGGCCTGTGATAGGGAGCAAACACAAAAATGTTGCTGGGTGTTGGTACGGCTCACTTCTATAATCTTAGCTACTCAGGAGGCAGAGATTTGAGGATCGTGGTTTGAAGCCAGCTGGGTCAGAAAAGTACACAAGATTCCGGTTTCCAAGTAACCACCAAAAGCCTGAAGTGGAGCTGTGGCTCAAGTGGTTGAGCGGTAGCCTTCAATAGAAAAAGCTGAGGGTTGGGGGGGAAAAGCTAAAGTGGTAGAATTAAGGAAAGTTTCCATAAGGTTTTATATGGTATATTTTGTTTTCCATGTAGTTTTCCTTCAGTACTGTATCTGAAGCTTTCTTGCTAAGTAGATCATTTTAAAAGTGACCTCCTACCTATGGTTCTCAAGCTTTGAAGCATTTCAGAATGGTCAAGGGCCTGTTGCGAACCCACAATTTTCTGGGCTCTGTCCTCAGTTGTCATTGTTAAGTAAATTTGGAATGTAGCTAAAAAGTTGCATTTTTAAACCAGTATTTGGCTGATAGTTCAAGAACAACACTTGGAGAACCATTGTTCTAAAGCAGTGCTTTTTGAAGTCTATTTCCTGCCTGTCAATCCTCTGGGCATGCTTTCCAATAGAACCTCCAGAGCCTGGTGCTGGTGGCTCATGCCTGTAATCCTAGATACTCAGGAGGCTGGGATCTGAGGGCTGGTTTGAGAAAAGAAAGGGGATGAATATGATCCTGGTGTTGTGTGTGTATATGGACATGTCTCCATGAAACCACCTGTACAACTAATTCATATCAATAACCAAAAGGAAATTTGCTCCTTGATAGGATACATTGAATAACCAGCTCACATGTGAAAAATAATAATCAGCTGAGAAATTCTGGTAGTGACAGCCGAACATTTGTTGGACACTTACTGTTGGTGGATTATCTCATCGCTCGGATCATAGCCTTATGAGGTATTACGAGAGTATTTCTCAGATGAGAAAAATGAGGGATGGAAAGGATAAAATATCCTGATCATTGAAGGTCATAGTGAGGAAGTCTGATCTGAAGAGTAAATTTTTCCTACTTATTAACTACACTGATGTATGTGTCCTACTGTTGTATGTGTCCCATTATGATCTTATTCCTAGTAATTGACTAAGAGATCCTATCTGCTCTTTTATTATTCATGGGAGAGACATAAATTGGTCAGTTTTTCACATGTAAAAGCTACACTTACAAGTGCATCAAGGTTTGAAGTCAGGAAAGTTTGAGAGACTATCTCCAATTAACCAGAATATTTGGAAGTGGAGGTGTGGTTCAAATGGTAGTATGCCAGCCTTGAGTGAAAAAAATCTAAGGGACATCACTTAGTATTACCCAACTTCGGAGTGAATGCTAGATGAAAATCAGCAGTAGTACTCTGTATGAGCAAAAAGAAAATTTTGTCTTAAAACTAAAAAAAAAAAAAAAAAAGGACTGAGGACATTTCTATGTTTTCTCACTTGTTCAGATATGTTCCGGATTGTGAGTTGTAGAACCTGTTGTATTTTCATTGTCTCCACAACTATTCCTCTGCCTTGGCTGCATGTTTTCCTTGATACCCAGAAGAAATTAGGACAGGAGAATGGTTGAAGTTATTTTGGTAGGAATTAGTATATAGAAGGTACTTGGAAGGGAAGGGAAGGCTGTTGGAAGGCCTTATTTTTCCTGTCATCAGAAAGTGAACTGCAGTTTGCTTCTGTGGTATTTCAAATCTTGGTTGTGACTCTCTATTTAAAAAGCAAAACAGGAGCTGGACTGTACCTTACAAAGACTTCTGCTTAACATATACAAAACTCTGGCATCAATATCTACCCCCCCCAAAAAAAACCCACCCCCAAACAACAACCTCTACATTAGAGGTTAGAGATACATATAGCATAGCATATAGGATGAGACAGCCTCCATTTCAGCAATCTGAGGGGAAGGCTGACTAGTTTCTTGCATAGCACTCTTTGTTAGAGTGAGGAAATGTGATCACTGTCTTTAGATGAGGCAGAACCCAATATTTTTAGTACTTTATCTTTAATACCACATCTAATAGTGCCTTAGTGTACTTAGGAAAGTGTGTGTAAAAAAGATTCAAGATTGTGAAAATGGTTTTATCATCTGCTATTTCATGTTTTACCATGTTAGGTAATTATTTAAATGAAGATTTTGTTTTGAAATTATTTTTGTTTCCTTTCCTACAGAAGAACATAGCTGTTGAAAATGATGTCCGAATAAACAAAGACAACCTTACTGATCTTTATGTCCAGCATGCTATACCATTGCCTCAGCGGGATTTGCCAAAGAATCGATGGGGGAAAATGATGGAAAAAAAAAGAGAACTACATGAGATAAAAAATGAGACTAAAAGGTACCTTTAGTGGTTCTAGTTTTTATTGTACACATGTAAAGTTTTGTATTTTTCCCCCAGTTAAACTTAAGGAAAAAAAGTACTTATTGTTTAAAATGAACCAGGCACTGTACTTTTAGCAACTAAAAAAAAAAATAAGGGAAAATTCCTTGCTTAGTTGGTGAAAAAAACAGTGTTAGTGTGTCACAACCTCATGAGTTGTGTTGCATATACCTTCTGTTTTTGGTTTTTATTCAGGCAATATTGTCTTTATCAGCACATTGTGAGAGTAAGAAACTGTGTGTGTCTGTGTGTGCATGCACGCGTGCACGTGTGCGTGCGCAGCTCTTAGGGCTTGAACTTGGGGCCTGGGAGATGATCCTGAGCTTTTGTGGTCAAGGCTAATGCTCTACTACTTGAACCACAGCTGTCCTTCCAGCTTTTGGGTAGTTAATTGGAGATGAGTCTCAAAGATTTTCTTGCCCTTCACACTGAGATCCTCAGATTTCAGCCTCCTTAGTAGCTGTGATTATAGGTGTAAGCCACTGGAAAGAAACACTCTCAGTGCTTAGGTAGAGGTTCCTTCAAAGCAGAACTTCATATAACAGTCCCTTAGTATTATTTTTGAAAGAATCTTTGGCTCTATGTTAAACATTTGTAGTTTGGAGGTCTGGAGCTTAGCTCAAATGACAGAGTGCTTTCGTCACATAGATAAGGCTCTGTTTCAGTCCCTCAGCACCACAAAACAAAAACAAAACCACCCACACAAATTGTAATTTGCTCCTTGAATGAGACTATTCAAGTTAGAAGGATCTGAGATATCTTGTATCGTTGAGCTGGTTATTATTTGCAGAGAAATTGGGATTCGGGGAAGTGCTGTAGCATGCTCATGGTCATGTCAGTTAGGACCATATTCCTCCAACTTCAGTGTTAAACCTTGGGTTGAACCTATATGAGCCAATTTTTTATTTTCTACCAAATGATACTCTGGTAACTCAAGACTTAGTGAGCTTGGCAATTTATGAATCTTGCTAAAATGTTGGTTTTAAGATGCTGATTTATCTTCCTAGACTTTGCATTTCTTAAAGCTCCCAAAGGGTGCTGATGTTGGGGCTGGGAATGCGGTTTAGTGTTAGAGTGCTTGCCTAGCATGCATGAAGCCCTGGGTTCAATTCCTTAATAATGTATAAACAGAAAAAGCTGGAAGTGGCACTGTGGCTCAAGTGGTAGAGTGCTAGTGAGACCCTGAGTTCAAGCCGCAGGACTAGCAAAAACAAAAAGGGTGTTGATGTTGTTGTTCTTGAGCAACACTTTGAGTGGCAAGGCTGATATATTCTTGTTGAATGGCTACTCAAGTTCTTTTAGCATGTTAATTTTTTTCATAAATCTGTTGTAAAAAGAACTATCTGATTGAGTAACACTGGTACTCACACCTCCTGAATACTCAGGAGGCTGAGAATCTGATGATTGTGGTTTGAAGCCAGCCGAGGCAGGAAAGTCTGTGAGACTTTTATCTCCCAACTACCAAAAGGCAGATGTACAGCTGTGGCTCAAGTGATAGAGTGCCAGCCTTGAGCATGAAAACTCAGGGACAGCTCCCAGGCTCTGAATTCAAGCTCCAAGACCAGAGCCTTAAAAAAACAAAACCCAAGAAATCTATAATAGCACAATTGAATGCCTTTTGCCTTTACTGTTAAAAAAGGAAATGTGATTTTTTTTTTTTAGAAGCTAAACAGAAGACTTACATAGCTTCCTATTAAAGTTGCTAGTCTTGATATATTTATGTAGGTTTTGTTCTTTCTATTTGGCTTTTTCTTTTTTTTTTTTTGGTTGTGGGGCTTGAACAAGGGTCTGGGCATTGCTCCTAAGCTCTTCACTTTGAGCCACAGCTCCATTTTTGGTTTTCTGGTGGTTAATTAGAGATAAGAGTATCACAGAGTTTCCTGCCAGGGATGGCTTTGCACCTCAATCCTCGGATCAGTCTCCTGAGTAGCTAAGATTACAGGTATGAGCCACCAGCACCTGGCTTCTCTCTGGCTTTTTTCTCCTATGCCTGGTGCTATGCTACTTGAGCCACACTTCTACTCCTTGGTTAAAGAGTCTCATGGTCTTTTCTGCCCTGACTGGCTTCGAACTGTAATCCTCAGATCTCAGCCTACTGAGTAGCTAGTATTATAGGCATGAGCCACCCCTGCCTGGCTGGGTTAATATTCTAAAATAATTAAAATGACATGGTCAAGATAACCATATCATTAATCCATTATTGTTACTTGGAAACTCTTTTATGCTTTAGCTTTTAGTGGTTAATAGATGTTTCAAAAATAGCTATACCTTATGTATATAATAAAGTGCTTTTTAAATAAATATTTTATAATTTAAAATAAATTACTAGAATTTTTTTTTTTTGGTCAGTCATGGGGCCTGAATTCTGGGCCTGGGCACTGTCCCCTCAGCTCTTCAGCTCAAGGCTAGTGCTCTTCCACTTGAGCCACAGCACCACTTCTGGCTTTTTCTGCTTATGTGGCGCTGAGGAATCAGACCCAGGCTCTCATGCATGCAAGGCAAGCACTCTACCATTGAGTCATCTTCCCAGGCCCAGAAATTTATTTTTTTTACAGAGGACATCAAGTTTCTAGTAGTCCCACTAAAAAGACTCTCATCGGGCTGGGAAGGTGGTCCAGTGGTAGAGTGCTTGCTTTGCATGCATGAGGCCCTGGGTTCGATTCCTCAGCTCCACATAAGCAGAAAAAGCTGGAAGTGGTAGAGCGCTAGCCTTGAGCTGAAGAGCTGAGGGACAGCACCCAGGCCCAGAGTTCAGGGCCCCATGACTGACAAAAAAAAAAAAAAGACTCATCAGTAAATCTAAATTGTTTTTCCATCCCAGATGGTATTTTTCAAAGGTGTATTTCTTTGATTTCAGGAGTAACACTGTAGATGGGTTAAGGAAAAGACCCCTTATTGTGTTTGATGGAAACTCAACAAGTACATGCATCAAAGTGAAAAGGACAGAGAATGGAGACAATGAACGACTCAAGCCTCCCCCTCAGGCAAGCTTTCCCAGTAATGCCTTTCAAAAATTATCAAATTCCTCTTCAGGTGTTTCACCCCTAATTTTGTCTTCCAATTTGCCTACGAACCATAAGGTGGAATACAATAATGACAATAAACCAAACCATGACTTAACGCATAGGAAAAGTCTTTCAGGTCCTATGAGGTCACCACCTTTGTCCCCTGTTGCAACTACACCTGTGAAGTTGAAGCGAGCTGCTCCTAAAGAAGAAGCAGAAGCTGTGGTAAGTAGTGTGTGGCTGCCATACAAAGTATAAAATTAGAGCAGTCCACCTTGTAGCCCAAGATGGGTCAGCTATGTTGCTTGCTTGCTTTTGTTTGCTTTTGGTTTGGTAAGTTGAAGATAGGTTTATTTTCTTTGGTGGGCCATGACTTGAAAACACCCAGACATGGGATCCTTTGTATAGAGATTAAAACCTGTCTCCTCATCAAACTGTAACAGAATTTTGATAATTAACTTCTCTTTCTGGTAAGGGCAAGAGGGGAAAAAAGAAGCGTCACTCTGATGGTACAGTTTGAGAGATCAGGTGGCTCCTCTGTCAGGAAGGCAGTACAGCTAGTTTAGGCACTTCCTTCAGAACTGCACTGATTTTTTTTTTTTCTTTTTGTCGGTAATGGGGCTTGAACTCTGGACCTGGGCGCTGTCTCCTAGCTCTTTAGCTCAAGGCCAGTGCACTACCACTTGAGCCACAGCACCACTTGAGCCACAGCACCACTTCTGGTTTTCTGGTGGTTTACTTGTGATAAGAATCTCACAGACTTTCCTGCCCAGGCTGGCTTTGAACCTCCTGAGCAGCGAGGATTACAAGTGTGAGCCACTAGCACCTGGCAAAACTGCACTGATTGTTAAAGGCCATATTAGGATACTTAGCATGTACAATTTCCAGTAGAACTATTATACACTTAATTATATGTTTCCCAGATAAAGGCTGACCAATGGCCCTGCAAGCTATTTTAAAGCAAGTAAAATATAAGACCCCTGTGCAGAATAATCAAGACTGCAAAATCCAGCCACCTCCAAGAGGATCCAGAGTAAATATGTATGCATGAAATAAACAATTAGATGCTAGATGTGCTTCCTGCAGCTCCCATACCTGTAACTAGGGCATCTGTGGCCAAGAGCTGAGGTTCCAGCCCACAAGTTGGGGCTCCAAGCCATGTTGATCACCACTGTCCAACCCAGGTATAACATTAGTGAAGGACTGGTTATCCAGTAAGACCTATCTCCACAGGGTATCCTAAGAGAAGGCATAATGGCTCTGAGGGCAGAAGTACTCACTGGAGCCTAGGAGTACTTCAGGACTCCCTAGACTCACTTGCTTTGCTACGCACCTTGACTCCTTCACAGCCTCTTGAATTGCATCAGCAGTTACTGCCCAACTCAGAGCCTATGCAATGTTTACCCCTCTTCAAACTGTATTGGAGACCCAAAGGGTCAGGCCTCAGGCTCACCAGTGCCCAAGAGAAAGAGTATGTGTGGCCCATTTAACTTTGCAGTTTGAATGCAATGCCTCTTGAACCTTTTAATAATCTCGTGTGTGTGTGTGTGTGTGTGTGTGTGTGTGTGTGTGTGTGTGTGTGTGTGTGTGTGTGTGTGTGTGTGTGTGTGTGTGTGTGTGTGTGTGTGTGTGTGTGTGTGTGTGTGTGTGTGTGTGTGTGTGTGTGTGTGTGTGTGTCTCTCCTAGGGCTTGAACTTAGTCCCTGGGTGTTGTCCCTGAGCTTTTGTGCTCAGGGCTACCACTGTACCATTTGAGCCCCAGCTCCACTTTGGCCTTTTGGTGGTTAATCAGAGATAAGAGTCTCAGGGGACTTTTCCTACCCAGGCTTAGCTTTGAACCACAATCCTTAGATCATAGTCTTCTAAGTAACTAGGATTAAAGTCCTGAGCCACTGGCACCTAGTTTTAATTTGTCTGATTTCTATGTCTAATTACTTATATGTTTGAGCCCTAGAATTTAAAAATCCATGATGATTATTGGTTTTGAGACTGTACTCAATTTATTTCTGTTTACCCTTTGAGCAGAAAAGCCAAGTAAGCAGCAAGAGGATCTGAATTTAAGCCATAGGCCTGGTGCATGCATGTGCGTATACGCACACATCTCACAAATTCACGTGTCAATTTATTTCTGCTTAAAATACTTAGAGTGAGGTGCTTTTCCTTGGTTTTTTTCATGAGCTCCTCCCACTATCTTGGGACTGAAAAAGAGAAATACTTAGGAAGTGGTGCTGTGGCTCAAGTGGTAGAGTGCTCACCTTTGAACTGAAGAACTCAAGGACAGTGCCCAGGTCCAAAGTTCAAGCTCTACACGCAACAAAAAAAAAAAGAGAGAGAGAGAAATACTGAGAGTAAAAAGAGAACTTGACTAGTGAGGCTGATGATGTAAGTAATTTGTCCAAGGTCATACATGAAGTAGTATTTGGTCTTTAACCTTAAGTCTGTTTGAACTTACCTTAAAACCACACCAGATGGTTGAGATAAGGTTCATCTGATAAGAGTATTTGCCTAGCAAGCTCCAGGCCCCTGAGTTCCTTCTCCAGAAACTCACACCAGAGCCAGCCACCAGGAGCTCATGCCCACAATCCTAGCTACTCAGCAGCTGAGATCTGAGGATCACCTTTTGAAGCCAGCCCAGGCAGGAAAGTCTGTGAGACTTATCTCCAGTTAATCACAGGAAAAGCCAGACGTGGAACTGTAGCTTGTGGTAGAATGCTAGCCCTTGAGCAAAAGGAGCGTAGGGACAGTATCCAGGCCCAGATTTCAAGCCCCAGTACCAGCAAAAAAACCCACACTAGGATCTCCTCTAATATTTACCACTTTCCTGTTTTACCCTGCACACATACATAGCTTTGGAGAAAGAGAAGTTAAGGGAATCTGTTATTTGTATTCTACTGTATTGAAGTATTTGGATGCTGGGATCTCATATGCTTAGTATAGGATATCAGTTACTTAGTATACAAACTTGTTCAGGGTTAATAAAGGACCAGAATGTAGTTTGAATACAGGTCTGTTTGATTCTAGGCACACATTGCCTCCATTCTTACTTCAGACACTTTTGTGGGAGATAGGAACAGTATATGAAATGAGCTAGAAGAATAAGCCTTAATTCAAATACTGTAATGAGAGAGCCTCAAAGACTTTTTGAGATATAAGCACACACATTTTACATACAATGTGAATTATTTCTCATACTGTCAAGATATCTCAGTGGGTATGGATTGTAAAGTTGAAAGAGGAGGTGAGTAGGCAGAGGAAATGGGTCTAGAACAATCAGTACTTCTTAGCCCCCATGTGGCTCACCTAAGGATACTCCAGAAAATCAAATCAGAGAATTCACAGCCTCATACCTCTGCTTCTTGTGTATTCTGACTTTACTAGTTGTGGGATAAGGCCTAAGCCCAGGTATCTTTTAAGTATACAGTGATGTGTATACATTTGTAAAAAAAGAAACATGGAAACCAGAGGAGGCTTATTGTTTCCCAAAACTTGCAACATATAATCCCACTAGGTGGCAGCAGTGATCTTCTATTAGTATAGTAGTAGTAACCCTTGGTGGTTTAAATGTTTATTAGCTGTCCTTGAAATGAAAATGAACTGTAGGAATGAACTGTTTTCTTCTTATATTTTACTAGACTATCCTGAAGCCCCCAGAAGCAAAGAGGAAGATACAACATGTTACATGGCCATGAAGGGATGTTTCCAAAAATGTAAATATAACTGTAACAAGTTTTTCAAACAAGTGCACATACATTTGACAGTATTGACAGAGATTCTGATTATTGCAGAATTTTCTTAAGAAGATAAGGTCTTTTTTCCCTCCCTTAAAAAAATTTCTTGCCTCTCACATCTTGATTAGGAATTTCTTTGTTAAATAATGGTTTTATATACATCATTTAAATTGGTCCTGCTCAAATCATTAACTGCAGACCTGGCATAAAACATTTAACCGACTTTAGGAATTACTCTTACTAATTTCCTTCAGAGTCTTTGAAGAAGTTTGAGATTCTTTTTTAATGCAAATACTTTAGTAATTTACTACCATTTCTGTTAATTTGCTTTCCTAAGCATTATAATAGTTCATTACAGCATTTTAGTAAATATTACCATATGCATCCTCAAGGATTCACCAAAGAAAGCATCTTGGTAAATACTGCTAGAAAACGATTGCGAATGTACAGATAAAATTGCTTTCTTCAATTGCTTATATTGCTTCTTCCTGTAAAAAGCAAAAGGAAAAGCAGTGCTTCCTCCTTGCTGCTGCTCCTCCCCCTGAGATCATATTGTAGGATTGGCTGTGAGCTGTCTGGAGCATCCCTTGTCTTGTAGCAGCCCTGCCTACTCTATTGTGAGTAGCCTGTGATCTCACTCTGAGTTTAGCTATTATTCCCTTCTGGGAGCTTAACCTCTTAAAAAATGAAGTTGATTTAAAAATCTTCAGGCTGAGTAATCATGTTAGAGCATATGGCACTTGGTAGCAGAAAGTTTAGAGAATTGATGGGGAGCCATAGAATTCTACTTGGGAGAGTACAGAAAGTGTGGTAGTGAGGGGCAAAAGGTCTGCTCTGATGTATGCAGTAGAGAGGCTACTGGAATCCAAATTCACTGCATGGTGCTGCAGAGGAGAATGGACTTCTGGTAGACTGAGGCCTCCTGTTGTGTAACACATACAACTTCCCACACAACTATCCCATGTAGGAAAGAGGTTTTCTTTTTTTCTTTTTTTTTTTGTGCGTGAGACTGTCACTTCCAATATAATGGAAGGCAATGAGAAAATAGTATTCACATTATGTTCAAGAGTTTTAGTATCTACTTTTCTGCTATGTATTTCTAACCAAGAGCAAAAGATACTTTGTACTTTTTTTAATATATATATATATCTTCAAATTGAGGTTGACTCTTTTCCAGTGAGTTTTAGAGGAATCTCTTTCCTCTTTCAATTTGTTAAAACAACTTGTTCAGCTAGTGAGTAGCCTTACAAAAAATTAATTCAGCCTTACAGGTAAGTTCTAACCCTAGAGTTTTTAATCAGCTCTGCCTTTATTCTGGACTAAGTCTATAACACATAAGACAAAATGGATATGTATATTAGTGTTACATAAATTATTGATGCTATAGTAAGTTTTACTGTATTATTAACTTGATGGCTGACGCATATTGTGGATGAGAACTGTGATTCTCTCCGTAAATATTAAGATTTAAAAGTTCAGGTTTTAGGTAGAATGACAAATTATATTTTGTATTCAGTTATCCTTCAGCTTCCACTTGTATTTCTCTCTTAATTAGGAGAGAGTTAGCAATTTGACGATTTTAAGTCAGTGAGAACTTTTAGTTACTCTGAAATTAATTTTTAATTTGTATATTTATAAACTTACAGAGTAGGTTGATAATAACAGCTGAACTGTGTAACATTGTTGCTTCAAATTGAAGTTTATATTATGAACATCAGAGTCAGTGCTTTTCTAGCAGCATATTATTGAACTGTTATGAGTTTGAAAGGTGAGAAGTGCTGCAGTGCACTGTTTGACGTGTTTCCCCCATCCTAGAGTGAGTGCCATGCCTTCTGCAGCATGTGGAAACTGCTCATCCGCCACTGGCTCTCTCACATAGTGAAGCAGGCCTAGTGCTACAAATCTGGGGCGCAGCACCACTGCGAGTCTTAGCTTCTAAGTTGTATTTTCCTGTCTAGAAAAAGCTTAGGAAGATTTGATGTGAATGGTGAACCACTTCAGAATAATCTTTGTGTTGCTCTTGGTTCTGTATTCCAATAGAGCCAGTTATCTTATTACTAGGTTAGGCAATGAATAAGATTAAAGTTAATAGGTGACTTGTGAGGTACCACAACTTGGTGTTAGCAGGTTGGTTTATTCTTTTTTAATTCTCTTCTACCTTTTCCTGTCCCCTCCCCTCCCCCATTATATTTTTTTCTTTCTTTTATTCCTCGATTCTCTAGATTCTAAGCATCAGTCTGAGATTTGCAAGTCATATTGCTGGCCCTACACATTCAGTAAAGGGTAGAAATAAACTGAGCCCCAGTCCTCTGAAACTTGAGGGATCACAGACTGCCATGTGGTTTATGCAGTCTCAGGACCTGCAGCCCAGGCACTAAATTGCTTCCTACAGCAGTACAATTTTCCAAGATAACCTTCTTCCTCTAGATAGCTAACAGCCATTTTGGAAAATCGGTTCGCTGCTACTCTGATGCTTTGCTGTATTTGCTAGTGTTAAATTCTTCTGAATTGGAATTTTTGTTTGAAATGTTTTGGTTGACTTAGAATTTGAGAGATGATTCTAAAGCTGATCTAGAGAGTCATTGAATAGCAATGATTTTTTTAAAACTTACATTAAGTAAAACTGCCAGTAGATTAAATCATAAATGTATGTAACAGCTTCCTCTACTACTGTAGAACTTCAGTAATTTTTAGAAGCTAACAAATGGTCAAATGTTCTTAAGTGTGCTCTTTTATTAAATGCTTGTTCAAGTTTTGTAACTCAGTACACAAAAGTTTGAACTTGTACATTTTTGTATGTAAAAGTCTTTTAAGTCTTTATTTAAACTGAATATAATTATCTTGAGTAGATCTGCCATTCATAAAAAATAAAATAAAATGGAAAAATATTCTGCTGATGTGATCTGTCTTTGAATAAACTACATCGTTCTTTATAGCACAGCCTCCTCTGTGTGTCTGATGGGGAGCAGGCAGGGTCCAAATAGTCCAGCTTCATCCTGAGCCCTGCTGTGAGTTCGAGTGGTTTGGTGTTTGGGACTAGAGGCTGACAAGTTGACTGTCTTGACACACTGGGAGTGAAAAATAGAAGTCCTTGAACTTTCCCATGCAAAGCTTCCCTAACAAAATGGGACTAGAGATTTGTTCAATAAACCACTCATTTCTAAACTTAATGTTACTATCTTAATGTTAAATAAGTTGATAACTGAAGCTCTAACTTAAAATCACTTGGAAAAGAATCAGTAATTTTTCTGCTTTGCACCTGAAAAAGTAGATCTTTCATTTTCTTGCCTGTATTAAAAGTCTTATTTCCATTTAGATTGTTTTTCCTGAAATGCAATTATTAAAGTGCTTTTACTATTTGGATTAATAATTTAGTTGTTTTCCCTGTTGTAAAATAAGGTGTGTGAATTGCCTGCATGTTTTTTAAGAGCCTGTGTTCTAGATTTTAGGAGTGAAACAGACAGGTTAGTCCCTAACTCACTGGAAAAATGTAAGTGAACAGTGAAAAATGGATAACTATGGTGATGGGAGGGATGTAAAACAGAATCCTGAGGTGATGGGGGTTGGAAAAGTTCATGTGGACAACTGCAAGCATTAGGGAAGGCTCTGTGTATACGTGTATTCCCCCACATGGGAAGCAGAGGCAGGAGGAATGCGAGTTGGAGGCCAACTCTGTCTCAACCCGGGTGGGTGGAGGGATACACACATATTGTTGTTCTAGTCCTGGGACTTACACTAAAAGTCTTGGCACTATCCTTGAGTCTTTTTAACTTGAGCCATAGCTTCACTTCTGACTTTTTTGGTGGTTAACTGGAGAAAAGCATCTCAGACTTTCCTGCCCAGACTGGCTTCAAACTGAGATCTTCCAATCCCAGCCTCCTGAGTAACTAGGACTACAGACATGATCTACTGGCACTTGACAGAAAAAGGTATCTTAAAGGGTAAATTAATAAAAAATAGCAGTAGGGTCAAATTGAGATGGCTGCATAGTCTTACTTTGTTCTTCCCATCAAAGACGCAACCTTCTTACCTACTACTGGTATGTGGAGTAGTCTTGTAACTTGATCAGATAAATGCTTCTCTCAAGTTTGGACCTTGCTGCAACCATGTGAAAAAGCCCAGACTTCCCTAATGGGAAGACTTGGCCCATCTGACAGCCAGCATTAACTGCCAGATGCATGGCCACTAGTCACCTGTATGAGTCTAACTGATAGCTGACTTTAGATGCATCATTGTCCCAGGTGAGATCAGTCTAGATTGCTGACTTAGAATCATGAGTAAAATGGGAGTTAATAGTCACAAGCGTTAGAGATGCTTGGCTGCCCTACAGTACAAACCATACCACCAGATAAGGGCAGAATGGGAAAGTTTTGATGCTTTATAGGCTTTAGAATAGAAAGCTGTGTGTTGGATGAAGACTGGAAATAGGCTAAGTGTTATAAATTAAGTGAGAAGGTAAGTGGTAGCCACGTTATGTTGGACCCTGTGGTCAGGATTTTGGATTGAATTCTAAGAGCAGTTAGAAGTTGTTAACAAATTGTTTAAAATTTAATCAGGCTTAAAAAATAATAAGCCTTAGATCTAGAGGATTGCCGTTCATGGCCTGCTCAGGCAGAAAAGTTCACTGGAGTCTACAGTATGTCCAAAACAGCCAGCAGAAAGTTGGTCTGGAGATGTAGCACAAGTGGCAGAGCACCAGCCTACAAAGCACAATACTGCCCCTCAAAAGCCTAATCAAATGACAAATAAGCATATAATAGTCCTAAACACCTTTTCCTCCTCTAGTACAGTTTTGTTTTTAGGTCAGTAATTTCAACTAATATTTTTTTTTATTAATAGCAAGAAATTGCCTGTTTTATCTTGCTATATACTTTTCTTAAACTTTCTAATAAATTTAAAACATTAGGATACAGGAAAATTTCCAAGATAGTACAGAGAATTTTCCATGTGCTTAATCTTGAGACATTTCCATTTGTCACTTCATAGCCAGGCACGCAGAGGTGTCCTCATGTCAGGATGAGCATTACCAAACGTAGTTGAGAATTATTTGTATGCTTCAAGTTCTAAAACACTATATTTAACTGATATCTCAGTTAATGCTGCTTGTATTCTGCTTTAGCATAGCTAATTTAAAATCTCTCCCAAGGAAGTTTTTACCAGGGTCCAGTGCTTACAGTTTGGATTACTTGTGATTGTGGCAAGTCAGTGTGTTGAGTGGATGCCAGTGGCTTTACCTGTGTGGTGACAGGATTTCTCTGCTCATCTCCAAGGCTCTGCTCTGCCAGCAGCACTAAGTTCCTTCACAAACATTTCTCTAAGGTGCTCCCCAAGGTGAAGTGTTCACTAAAGATACTGGGGGAACTGAAGGAATGGAGTATCAACTGGGAGTGAAAAAAGATAAGCCAGAGAGTGAGGCCCTGACTTTAAGCACCACTATAGGCACAAAATTAACAACAACAAAAACCCACTATTGATAAGCCACAATCAGTTTTGTTCAGAGACAGACATGACAGACATGTACTGAGCTGTTGACCATGCTCACTGTCCTCAGAGGGACAGCCTGGTAAGTAAAACTGCTGTTACCCCAGTGATTTGATTATCATGGTTTTGGTTGAAGGTAGACTCTTAAGAATTTCACAATAACCGTGGTAGACAATTTGCTCCAGGAAAGTTAGAATGTGTTTGTGACTTTAACAGCATCACTATCCCACAATACTGTGAAATTTGGGAAATTATATAATCACTTAATCAAAATTAAAAAAAAAAGTCTCGTGGACTTTCCTACCCTAGCTCTTTGAGCTTTGATCCTTAGCTTCCTGCATAGCTAGGATTACAGGTGTGAGCCATTGGTACCTGGTCATACTCTACTTTTAAAACAGGAAATCTAGGGGCTGGGAAGGTAGCTCAGTGGTAGAGTGCTTGCCTTGCATACATGAGGCCCTGGGTTCGATTCCTCAGCACCACATAAGCAAAAAGAAAAAAAAGCCAGAAGTGGCACTGTGGCAGTGCTAGCCTTGAGCCGAAGAGCTGAGGGATAGCACCAGGCCCAGAGTTCAGGCCACATGACCAGACACCTCCCCCCCCAAAAAAAAAACAAAACAGGAAATCTAAAATAAAAAATTTAAGTTAGCCCAACTTACTTTAAATAAAAAACACATGTAGTATACTATTAAAGTACAACTTGATTTAAAGTTCCTACTTTATACCTTAATAATATTACTGGAAAAGTGGTATTTTAGCACTTAACACAAGAAGGTAAATTTTGAGCATGATCATCTGGTATATAATAAAAATGCAGCTGAAATATCTAATGAGTCTCTTAATTCTTTTGAATTAAAGCTCCATCTTTTGAATTTAAAGTTGTCTCACACAGCTTTAAAAAGTTTCACAACTACATTATTGTGTATCTTTTTAAATTGCAGGTTCTCAGGCATAGAAAGGAAGTAAGTTAACTACCTAAAAATCAAAAGCTTTTGGGGGCAAATTTGACTTGAAATTATCTATATGTAAAACATAATGTATTATAACATGCACAATATAATGTGCTAATAAATACAACTATAAAAAAGAATTTCACAATATCCTCTGTGACGCCACAGATTTGAGTATTTGTTGTAAGATAGTTTAGATCTACCTTGAAGCTTACGACACTTGAGGTATATAAAAATCAATGTAAACCTCATTGTAGACTGTATTAATGAGAAGTATTACAGTTTATGATAAAGTTTTTCATATGTTCAAAATAGAGAAAAAGACGCTGACTTCTTACTCTGCATTTAAAAATGTTTTTAATTTTTTTTTGCGAGACTGGGCTTGGTACCTGATGCTTTCTTTGCTCATTAACTGGTGCTCTACCAACTGAGACATGCCTCCATTTCCCTCCCCCCTCTTTTAAATTATTAAAAGCACTTCATAGGCAAAACCTAAGAGAATGCCAGAATCCAGAGAAGAGGGCCATATTTTGATGCTTAGTTGAAACTCAGCAGTAGTTTGGTGACTAATGGAAGGAACATTCCAAACTATGACATCAGGGAACAAAACCACATAGATGAACTAGAAAGCAACCTAGGAAAGAACAGGAAAGCAGTAAGGAAGAATAGGGAAGAAATAAAGGACAAAGTGGGATGGGGACAGGCAAGCTTGCTCTCAATGAGCTTGATTTCAACATCTACGGAATGGTAGAAGTAATGCAGGAAGTGACTTGACCATAGTCCCAGCACCTGACAGTGGTGAGGGAAATCATCTTTTCAGGAAGATACATTCTGAGTCTCAGAGACACACACAGAGAAATCTTTAAAGGGCATTGATGAGCATAATTCAGTTGTCCAAGGCTGCAAGGAGACTAGGTAACTTCTCTGTATGAACTGCTACAAAAGCATCAAGGAGACAACCCAAAGTTTTCATATAAGAGTATTCAAGCAAATGCCAAACAAGTTTGCTTTTGGTATTTACAAGAAACTAAAACACAACACACAAGTCAATGTATTTTTATTACAGTAAAATAAATGAATAGTCATTTTTAACTCATATAGCTCAGTGAAAATATGCATGTGTGTGGTGTACACATGCACATGCACACATGTTGGCTCCCATCCACTGAAATCACTCCCCAAACGAAGGTAGACAACAAGGCAGGGCTGGCAAGCTTTCTCTATAAAGGGCCAGATGTAGAAAATGTAGGGCCCCTAAGCTAGGTGGTGGTGGCGGCTCATAGCCGTCACCCTAGGAACTCAGGAGACAGATCTGAGGATCAAAGCCATCCTGGGCAGACAAATCTGAGAGACTTCTTTCTAACCAACCAGGAAAAAGCTGTTAACTGGAAGTTTGGTTCAAGTAGTAGAGAGCCAACCTTGAGTGGAAAAATAAAGTGAGAGCTCAAGGCTATGAGTTTAA